CTCTATTCCTCTCTTTTTTTTCTTTCTCTCTCTCTCTTTCTCCTTCTCTCTTATATATATATATATATATATATACGTCTATACATGCACTGATTATATTATAGACGTACTTTATATATCTATATTTGTATAACTACATATAAAGGCTTGTGTGTATCACTGTGTGCATATGTATATATGAATATGTGTTTGTATTCACTATGTTAATATTATTTTATATTTCATTTTTGCCCATATTTCATTTGTATTATAGTTATTATTTTTATTTATTCTTATATTTTTCAAAATTTTTTAAAAGAAAATAAATTTAATTTCAGCCCAAACCAATTAGACCAGCCTGAGTGATGATAGCACATTGGTGTCATTGGTAAAACAGAGATGTACATCATTTGGTATCAATCACATCAACATGATCATTAACATTATCATCGTCACTAAAAATGATTTAACCATTATCCTCTTTGTATACACCACCATCATCAACATTTTCCTACAGAATCCGTCCGTCACACGTATCAAGTGAATGAAAAGAAGTGCATTCCAGCTTGCATCCATTTCATCCTCATTTTCCTCCTCCTCATCTTCCTCCTCCTCTTCCTCCTTCTCTTTCTCATCTTCATCATCTCCATCTTCTTCATCTCTTTCATTTCATCATCATAATCATCATTGTCACCGTGCTCAACGAAACGTAATAAATTTTATATACGCTTTTATAATACGCGCGCACGATTGCTAGTGCATTGAATGCATATGCGTTTGTATGTGTGTATGCGTATAGGCGTGAGTATTTGCGTATATGTGCGTGTATGTGTGCGTATGTGCGTGTATGTGCGTGTATGTGCGTGTATGTGCGCGTAGGTGCGTGTATGTTTGTGTATGTATGTTTGTGCTAATGATATTTTATATCATAATACTCAAACGCGTACCTGTCATACATATTTATACTTTTATATGTTACATAATTGTTTTATATGTTACAAAATTGATAAATAATATATATAACAAATATAGATGCGTTTGTTCCTTAATGAGTGTACGCCTGAATGATGAATGCGTGCGTGCGTGTACACATAGAGGTACGCACATTTTAATGCGTACCCACGATTGTTTTTGCATACCTACATTGACTTATAAAAACACACACACATGTGTCACAAAATTATATGTTTTCTCATTTATTTATACATCTTTGTTAATTAGTGTTTAATATATATGTGGTTGTGGTGTGGTGTGTGTTTTGTGTTTGTGTGTGTGTGTGAAAGAGAAAGAAAGAGAGAGAGAAAGAGAGAGAAAGAGAGAGAGAGAGAGAATTCGCTACGCGAACATAGATGAACAAATAGCATCCTAAATACCAAATAGCCATACACACATATGACAATTTGAAAAAAACAACAAACATTCGAATATGTTCAATTATAAATGTAACTGTCATGTATGTTTGCTTCTGTAGCTCTTTCTTTTTGTCCCTCTCTCTCTCTCTCTCTCTCTCTCTCTCTCTCTCTCTCTCTCTCTCTTTCTCTCTGTCTGTCTTTTTCTATATATATGAGTATAGGTGCTGAGCACGAGAGGGTTAAAAATTTTGTTATGGTTATGAAAATGTCTCATTGCTTTATATAAAGTATTTGTCTTTTGTTCTTTGTTCGATTGTTGTTTTCATGTTTGTATGTTGTTGTTTAGAAGTTATTTTCTGTTAGAAGTTATTGTT